GTTTTTGTACCGCTCCGTTCTTGTTTTGATTAACAGCAATCACCCACTTCGCGACGACCTGGCGTAGTTCTGATGGAGCGGGTGGCCGTTGTCTTCCAAGATTTTTTCGATTTTTCTTAGGCATGTTTGTTCAAAAAGTTCCTTTAAATGTGGTAATGTTGTGAGTGTAATTTTTGATGCTTTTTTAATGATGTTTTCTAGACGTCGCAACAGTTTAGATGAGGCATTGCCTTGCCAACAACTTATTCCGTATGTTAGCAGATTTTGTATAGTTGCGCCATAAAATGTCTCAAGGATCTTCTTGTTTAGTTTAAAGCTATTGAGTTTGTATAGAAAAAAGAGTCGCTGAGCTGTTTTCTTTGTCAGAGTTCCAAGGTGGTCTTCCCATGAAAACTTGTTGTTGATAACGCCTAGATATTTATATGCCTTTACTTGTTCTATGGATGTAGTGTTTATTTGCAGTTCACGTATAGTTTGTTTTTTCTTTCTAAAATCTATTATAAGTTCTTTAGTTTTTGTTACATTCAGTTCTAGAAAGTTGTCGGTGCACCAGTTTGTAAACTCTTCTATCGAGCTTCGATACTGAGTTTCGTCACCTGAAATAAGACCGACTATGGCAGTATCATCAGCGAATTTAATGAGTTTAACTGAGTCATAGATGCTTCTTATGTCATTAGTGTAAAGAGTGTATAGTACAGGAGAAAGTACACAACCTTGTGGAGCACCCGTACATAGTACTCGAGTTGACGATTTGGTGTTGTTGACTTTAACATACTGGGACCATTGGGTTAAAAAGTTTAGAACCCATGCTTGTAAGTGAGGGCTTACATTTAAGTTACTCAGTTTGTTTATCATTAGATGTGGCTGTATGGTGTTGAAAGCTGAGGAGAAATCTACGAAGAGGACTTGTGCATATGTTTTGGGTATATCGAGATGCTTATAAAGCTGGTCCAAAAGCAATAGAATGGCATAATCAGTTCCTCTAGCTGCTTTGTATGCAAATTGGTGAGGGTCTAGGCTGTTATTGACTTTTGCTACAAGTTGTTTAAGCATATATTTTTCAAAACATTTCATAACAATAGGTGTTAGTGCTACTGGGCAGAAATCATTTAAGCAATCTATTTTTGCAATGACTGGTTAAAGATATGACAGAAGATAGAAGAGATTTGCTCCGCACATAGTTTGATCAGCTTGCCACTAATTTTTTCTGGTCCAGACGCTTTTGTTACTTCTACTCTTTTAAATAACAAGGTCACTTCATCCTCAGTTACAAAATTGACGTAGGGCTCTTGCTTTCCTTAGGACAGAGTGTTGAAAAGTTCTTTGTGTAGATCAACACTTAACTTTTGTAACAACTGGTAGCCCATCTGTTTTGCTTTCCATCTGCCTTAATGAAAATTGCAAAGTCTTATTTCTAATCTTCAATCCCCCCCCCCCCCCCCCCCCCCCCCCATTAAACTGTCTACACAGAGACTGGTCAGCTTATTCCCAATTATTGCCTACAGATTTTAGGTTTTTAAGGATGTACGATGTCATACTAGAATGAGACGGTCCTGTTTTTGTTTTCCTCTTGTTTGCCTTTTCAACAGTCTTTAACAGACAAATAATACCACTGTAAAAAGGTTCAGTTGTGTACATACTTATTAAACATAAACTTTCAGATAATCTAGATTCTTGCCAATACCAGTGTTCTGTCTAGAGATTATATCTTTCTTGGAAACTCTTTATTAATATTATATAGAATATCGTTTATTATACCAAATGTTTGGGATTTTATAAGAAAAGAACAATTTTTTTTTTTTATCATAAATCATTCTTCTAGTCTATTCATCCTCTGGAATCACTCCTCTACTCATGGAAACATACAGAGATGAAAAAAAAAAGAAACAAAAACAGTTCAATTTATCACACTTGACTTAAATATTCTCACTAAACAAGAGTAACACTATTGTTGAAAACTTTAAATTCAGAGTCAGTCTAGAACAAATATATACATATCTATGGAGAACTAAATTATTATTTACCAAGGTATTAACTTGAGAAACAATGCAGAAAGATACTTGCATAAAAAACATGGTTCTTGTTTCATATGCTTGAATTAAGTCATATATATGTAATTTCTTTTCTCTCGAAATGCTGAAGGTAGGAGTTTGAATCAGTCAGAAAAACCAATGAGTTAATATTTTAAATCTTTAAATTTGTACAACAAAACTAACACATGACAATATATAGAATCTAATAAAATGTTATAAAATAATATAATTTAGAATTATAACTCAAAATGGATCAAAAATTGCAGGTACAAACAAATGCCATTTACTATAGCATATTTTTCTTTACGCAGGATATTTAACAATTCTTTTGTTTCTCCCAGGTTGGTCTGACTATTGGAGTCCTGACTGGTATTGGATCACATGCAGACCTAGTTACAGCAGATCATGTTGTACCAAGTGTTAGTGAGATCTTAAAACATCTGAAAGCCAAAGAAGATTCTTTCAGGTCAGTTCGTCCTCGCCCAGTCTCATACACTAGCTGCACTAATGGGTCAGTTCCTAAAAGGTGTTATTCCACTTTGGCTGGAAAGGGTCATGATCGCAGATGGAGACAATTTTTGCCCTATCCAGAGCCAAAAGAGTACCACCTGGCAAAACCAAAGTATGACTACATCATTGTTGGAGCAGGTTCTGCTGGGTGTGTCTTAGCCAACAGGCTGACTGAGGATGGGAAATCTACTGTGCTGCTGATCGAGGCAGGACCTAAGGATAACTCTTGGAAAATTGCAATGCCTGCAGCCTTGATGTACAACCTTTGTGACGACCGATACAACTGGTACTACCACTCAGAGCCTGAGCCGTACATGAACAACAGGGTTATGTACCAACCTAGGGGCAGAGTCCTGGGTGGTAGCTCCTCCCTCAATGCCATGGTTTACATTCGTGGTCATGCCAAAGACTATGACCGCTGGGAGAAGGAAGGTGCCATTGGTTGGTCTTATGCTGATTGTCTCCCCTACTTCAAGAAGTCTCAGAGTCATGAGCTGGGTCCTAATGATTACAGAGGTGGTGAGGGACCCCTCAAAGTCTCAAGAGGTAAAACAAATCATCCACTTCATCAAGCTTTTATTGAAGCTGCACAGCAAGCTGATTATCCTTTCACAGACGACATGAATGGTTACCAACAAGAAGGTGTTGGGTGGCTAGACATGACTGTCAAGGATGGCATCAGATGGAGTGCTGCCACTGCCTACCTTTGGCCTGCTACTGCAAGAGCTAACCTTGATACCCTCACAAAGACCATGACCACTAAAGTTCTATTTTCAGGTCGCCATGCTGTCGGCGTAGAGATATTCAAGTCAGGCTGGACTGAAACTGTAGAGGCAGAAAAAGAAGTTATTCTGAGTGGTGGAGCTATAAACTCACCTCAGCTTCTGTCATTGTCTGGAGTGGGTGATGGAGATTTGTTAAAATCTTTGGACATTCCTGTGGTTCAACATCTGCCTGGTGTTGGTAAGAATCTCCAGGATCACCTTGAAGTCTATGTTCAGCAAGCCTGTACACAACCAAACACTTTATACTCAGCGCAGTGGAAGTTCCCTCACAATATGATCAAGATTGGGCTTGAGTGGTTCCTCTTCCAGTCTGGATATGGTGCTACATCACATCTAGAATCTGGTGGCTTCATTCGTTCTAGGGCTGGAGTTGAACATCCAAACGTACAGTACCATTTCTTACCATCAACAGTCAATGACCATGGACGGAAGATGGGACCTTGCCATGCATACCAAGTCCACATTGGACCAATGAGACCGACCTCTCGTGGATCTGTCACCATCAAGTCTAAAGATCCCCTTGAGCATCCTAGAATTCTGTTTAATTACTTATCCAACTCTGAAGATAGTAAGGAATTCATTGAAGGCGTTAAGTTAACGCGAGAGATATTCGCCCAGAAAGCTTTTGATGAGTTTAGAGGTCCTGAACTGGCCCCAGGACCAGACTGTGTCTCTGATGAAGATATTGATGCCTTTTTGCGGAGTAAGGGCGATAGTGCTTATCACCCATCCTGCAGCTGTAAAATGGGTTCACCAAAGGATCCCATGGCTGTGGTTGATCCTGACTGCAGGGTGTTAGGAGTGGAAGGCTTGAGAGTGGTGGATGCATCCATCATGCCATCTGTAGTTAGTGGCAATTTGAATGGGCCTACTATCATGATGGCAGAGAAAGCATCTGACATTATTAGAGGATTGACACCACTCCCAAGATGCAAAGTGCCTGTATGGGAACCAGCAGACATCAATAAACAAAGGTAATAGATCTATTGATGTAAACCATAAACTTTATCATCATGAAAGATGAAAATTTGATTTGACATGTGCCATATAATTGATTTTTTTGGGCAAAAGACAAGCATAATTATAGAGATTAAAAAAACACTGCAGCTTACCATCAACATCTCAATTCTTGCTTTGCATCATAAAGGATATAGATGTATATTGCTCTTGTCAGCTCTCAGGTCCAATTACTTTGATGTGCTGAATAGATTCCATTGTCACCATGAGTTTGCAAACGGCAATACAAGTTGCAGTGTTATACAAGATAGTGTATACTATCTAAGTGAATTACACTGTTGGATGGCATCTTAACAATAACATCATATTTAGAAATAAAGTAATTAATAAACTACAGTGTTATACATATTTATTAGTATGTTGCCAAAGTTGTTTATTGATAGTTTTAATGTGTTCTGTAGTCTTCAAATTGACTAATAATCTCTTGATTTTTAAATATTTTTTTGTTAAATACTATACAGCAGTTTTGTATTAGTGTCATTTTCAACACAAAATATTCTTTAACCTGTTACAGAAGACTGTATATAATCTGAAGAACATATTTATTTTGTTCTTCTTAAGGCTGTTTGTGCTTAATTTATTGTCTGAAAATTCAGATATCTTCTTTGTCAATAGCATTATTTCATTAGTGTAGTTCTTGTATAGCTTTGACTTGATGCTTGTTTGTCCATGCTAGGAGATGAACCATCCCATATAGTGTTCCTCATTCTCATTGTGTGTGACATCAAACCTAGGCCCCTCCTGATCTTTTTTTTTTTGTTTATTTGTACAAGTAAGCTACAAATTGACTTCATTAAAACTTTATGAAGAAGGTCACATGCATTTTTTGAAAACTTTGATTAATAACTGAAATGGTCTAAAAAACCAATTGTTTTGAATAAATATTAAAGTTCAATCTGATGTAATGTTTTTAAAACTATTTCATACATCATTAATTTAAAAAATGTAAAATTGTTATGACATTGAATTCCTGGATGTATTCCTTTTGTTCTTGTCAGTCCCCTCTGACTTCAATTATTATTTCCTTGTCTGTATATTATTTTTGGTCTCTTATGGTTCAATTATTTGTGCTATGTTATTGTTTTAATGTAAAAAAAAAAAGCCATTATGTGTAGTGTGGTTTCACTACACCCAAGTAGCCAGTTTAAATACTGCCCTATATATTTTGTCCAGCTAATGTCATGCAGTGATCAGTTTCTTTGAACCCTGTGATCTCTATTTATATTGTTTATTTCATTTCCTTGCAACATACATTGGTCTCGACTCTGACATTTTAGCGTGTACTTTATATGAGAGTTACTTGATTATTTTATGAAATGTTTTATTTGATTCTTCTGCTTTCATCCACTTCACGAAGAGCTCTAAGTGATTTATACAATAAGTGAATACATACAATCTGATTCTCAACTGGGTTTTTCAATCTTAATGTATTTAGAACAATTATATTAAAAGCTTTGTAGTCGTTTTTTTTTAATTGCTTGAAACGACAAAAAAAAAAAAAATTTAAAAAAATCATCTATTTGCTTTGTGTTTCTATTAAGTTGTCTGTGACAGTCAAGTTTCCCTATAACAGAAGGGATGTGTCTCTAGAAGAAAATGTGTACATGTTGGAAGATGGGGAAACCTTTAAATTGTCTTACAATTTGTCTTTGAATCTCTTGTTCCTACACAGACAGTAATGAGACAGAAACCACGGAGATGTGGAATGGATTTAGAAATAATAGATTAGAATCAAAACAAAAAATATTTCAAGAGACAGTCTAGGTGAAAGTATTTCTATTGGCACATTATTTTGACAGAACTCTAATGGACCGCCTTTCGTTGATGGTATTTCGTATTCAGTTTATCTGGACCTGTCGAGTCGCTGAAGTGCACGTAAGTGACCCTCCTAAAGCCTGGCCACATTCTTTCCTCTCTTACTTCCAAGCAGACACTGATGTAGCGGCTCAAAGCCTACAGTGAAGACTAATTGAACGTTATACACACTTTCATTGGAGCCATTGACAACAAAAGCAAAATCAAAATTTCACAATGAATAGGCCCCTATACACGGAGTGTTTACGTCATAATAATTTAACAATGACTATAAACAGAGGACACTATACACAAGTTTTTTTAAAAAGACTACAACAAATCTACATGTGTCTTTACTACATTATGACTTAGTAGTTCCTTCCAGATCTGGTCCGTCTGGCGTGTGAAGTCAAGTTGACCCATTTTAGTAGCTAATAATGAAGAGGATACCAAGAGTTTTTATTTTTTGAGTCGAGAACGTATACCTTTCTAGTTTTGTTAAGATCCCTAATTTAAAAAAAAGGTGTATGCATGACCGGACTGACGATCGTGCAACACCGTGCAGCCGCTCACGGTTTAAATGGAGCTTCCACATTAAACAAACAAAAAATGAACTAAAAAAGTGTATATTTAATCTATTACACTCAAATCAGAGAAATGAAATGTACAAACACTCGATTTCTTGCTTCGCAGATGTACCTCTACGTGAAGCTCGTGATTATCAGCGAGATGAAAGTCTGTCAAAACACATTTATATGGAATCAACAACTAGTAGGTCTACATCGAGGAATCCATTTAGTGTAATTTAGTGATTACCATTGGGTAATCCAACTACAAAAATATAAGTAGTTCTTTCACACAAAAAAACAACAACAACAACAACAATTCCTGTTGCTAGGTCGATAGATCTAGACAAAGTTTCTCCCCCTCTCTTTACTTAATCGGGCTGTATAAACCAACGTTGATTTGATAGACTTCTATTCAGTGATGGTTGAAAATACAATGTATGATGATTGATGAACAGACATCTTTAGTGCAAGTACAAATGACATTAGTTTGCATCAGAGTGATGTTGTATATCTAACGTTCTAGTCACAGGCTACTACTTCCGCCCCTTTCTCTTGTATACAAAATGTTTTCATTGTTTCGGATGCTCCTTCCGAGTTAAAGAGACTCTACTTCCTAGTCCAAACATCCTGCAGGACGACGGGCGGGGTATAAATCCGAGACCGAATGACCAAGCAGCCATTGTTATCAAACAGTGCGTTTTCCCCTCCTTCCATATTTGAAAACCTCCCCGAGACCCCCCCCCCCCTCGGATTATTCTTGTAAAGACAAAGACATGTAAAAATATGATGTGTGATAGTCCGTCTCCGAGTGCATGTATTTTCTAGATGTGAGAGGGAAAGGTGTGAACGTCCTGTCTATAGATGTGAGAGGGAAAGGTGTGAACATCCTGTCTATAGATGTGAGAGGGAAAGGTGTGAACATCCTGTCTATAGACGTGAGAGGGAAAGGTGTGAACATCCTGTCTATAGATGTGAGAGGGAAAGGTGTGAACATCCTGTCTATAGACGTGAGAGGGAAAGGTGTGAACATCCTGTCTATAGATGTGAGAGGGAAAGGTGTGAACATCCTGTCTATAGATGTGAGAGGGAAAGGTGTGAACATCCTGTCTATAGATGTGAGGGGGAAAGGTGTGAACATCCTGTCTATAGATGTGAGAGGGAAAGGTGTGAACATCCTGTCTATAGATGTGAGGGGGAAAGGTGTGAACATCCTGTCTATAGATGTGAGAGGGAAAGGTGTGAACATCCTGTCTATAGATGTGAGGGGGAAAGGTGTGAACATCCTGTCTCTAGATTGTGAAAGACAAAAAAGGATGTACTCTTTGATCACTTCTCATTAATAGTTGGAATGTATTGTCATGTAAAAGAAAACTCGTTCGTTCAGTTCTAAATAATCGTAATCAAGAGCCTATGTAGGTCTCATTGCTACAACAGCCTGATGATGTATACGATATCTCATCGTGGATGTTTTGTATGCAGTAGGTACACAGTGGTTGGTTGGTGTCCGCTTCTCTTTTCTTCCCATTACCCGATGAGCCTTTCTCCTATGTTAATTCTGAAGCGTCAGTCTCTGTGTGGAAACAGACACTTTGGCTCAATAGTTGGAGCAAGTTTAAAAGAAGAAATTAGCTTTTGAGGCGGTTGAGAAAACCAGAGCACATTCTGAGCACTCTCAGGAGGACAGGACTATAGTCTGGGTCCCCCAAAAGAAGGTGGGCTCATTTAAAATGCTGTTGCTTTACGTATCTGAATGTTTTTGACGTGGGGGGGGGGTGAAGGCAAAGGGGCCCAAAATTGCTGGTGGCGGGCCTGGTTCTCCAGCGTGATAATAGAAAAAAAATCATAGCCCAATTCAGACTTGTTCTAGTGCCTCTGTTTGATGCCTTGGAGAGCAATTCGATTCACAATGCTGCCACTGCGGAGAGGACGAGGAAATAGATCATTCACGCAGAATGTCAAGCCTAACACGACAGGGGGCAGAGAGAGTTGGTTTAGGGTCAGGATCAGGCTATTCCTTGTTCGTGGAAAAAGAGATCCTAAATGTATAGCCCGTTTCCTTTTCCATGCCCCAAGGGCTTCAGTCTCCACATGGTCGTCAGGAAAGATGTTTCAGATAAAATGGAGTCTCACGTTGTACACTGCTATTTATGAACTGTCCATCAATGTGTGTATGCATAAATAACTTTGAACAAGGTCTTTATATTCTTACAACAACAACAACACCAACAACACATACTTGACAGAACACGTCACAGTAATGTAGGTCACCAGTCTGGATTATAGAACTGACCAACGTAGCAAAATTAGTGGACAACGATGAATCCAGTTATTTGAATACTTTTGTAAGAATTATCCATAGGTGAAAGGCGTATACGTAGGCATATAATCTTTCACTTTAGAGTATTAACAATATTTAAGCATAAAACCAATACACCATTGCATACATCCAGGTTAATAACACAATGCTGAAGCTGAATTGAACACGCTAAACCATTATATGCACATTTATACACATATTGCTTTTAATTAACCTAATTACAGACAGGTGATGTATCTCACGCCACAAGTGAAACCTGTTGACTGCTAAGGCTTCACAGTATCTAACGGTGCACATGAACTCAGGACTTGGAATAATAGATGGCTTTGAATTCTGTAATAAAGAAATATGGTAATATAATTCTTTGATAGGACCATTGTACTTTGAATATTTGAAATCCATTAAACTTTATTGTGTTTTATATTAAATATTAATGTTATCCTATCAGATATTTCGGTACAAGGCCATGTAATTAAAAAGCAACAACACTAAGCCCAAGTAAAATATTAAAAAAATACATTTAAAAAAAAGACTTATCTAAGAGAAGAACTTCACATTTACAACTATATATCTCATTAATATAATGCATTTCATTTTTTCAATATCAAACAAAATAATTAATTACCTATAATTTATTGACTAATTGGTTAATGTCTAAATTGTTTCATGCTTTTTAAATTACAATAAATAATTGTGGAAAGTTTCAAAGTGATCCGAGAATGAGTTTGGGAGACATAATATGTACAATTATCTAAGTGGGCAAAACCCCTTCTGTTAATACTGAAAGATTTATTTCCCTTGTTAGTATCATACAAAATACTTAATTACCAGAAATTAATTGACTAATTGGCTATTTTTTAAAACTGATTCATGTTTTGTTAGGTACAATAAATTATTGTGGAAAATTCCACTTCACCCAATAATGGGAAGTGGGAGAAATAAGAGTTCAAAATGTTTACCAGACAGATAAAGTGAGTTGGTATAAGCTTTGTAAAAAGACGTCAACAGAACGACATTTCAGCGCTTGAGAGATGGAAAGAATCGCATTGTTGAAGACGTATTAGAATGTCCTCAATAAGAACATTTTTACTTGATCAGTACTTAAATAGGAACCAATAACTAGAATGCATTAAAAAAAATGAAATTACGTTTTGTCCCTTGAAAAACAAATTTACCGCTTTCGCGCATCCATTGAGGCTTTGAGTAACGCTGCAGTAGGCCTTTAAACTTGGTTGGAGAAGTGATATCAGTGTGTGTGTGTGATAAGATGATAAGAGAAAGGGATGTGGAGCTTACCTGAATAATCGACTTTCCCGTCTTGGTTCACGTCTGCTTCTCTCACCATTTCCGTTGCCTCGGCCTGAAAGTAAATAAGTCAATGCCTTTTAAAACATCGCCTCTCTACAATATAAAGTACCTACTCGACGAAGACTTAAACATTAAGATCTAGTGAATTGGTGGCAGAAGTTATTGTGAAGTCAAAGTCGGAATAATTACAGTAATACAACTTTTTATAACATAGCCACAATACCACTTCAGTTTTGCCATTTTAATGTCCGATAAAATATACATAACGGGTAAATCAAACTGTTAAGGGACTTGTCACTGTTCTAAAAAAGGGGGAGTTTACATAGTCACATATTAAAGTACAAAACAAATTCTGCTTCTAATTTTATCACTATGAATGAGGCTGTTGGTGTTCTTTCAAACTTGTGCAATGAAAATATCTACAAACCAGAAGGTACTAATAAAAGAATCAATACATGAATGAAACGGGGCTGGGAGACACGCAGCTGGTGAATGGGACTAAAATGAAAGAGAATAAAGGGCGA